GTTGTTTCAATCCGTCCGTTACCGTAAGTACCTTACAAATAGGCCCTGCTACCCCGCACTTTCTAGCAGCCATTAGAATAGTTGCTGATAATATAAAACACCTCTTAAATTTGTATATAAGTTCATCTGTGTGTCATTGTATACTAGTATGCGAGATACTTTAAAAGCTACAGTTACTTTTAGCCACTTAAATTTACTTACGATTATATAAAATTTATAACATTCGAAGCGGCGTACAATCTTAGATTAGTTATGGTGGCTAATTAAAACAATTCAATTAAAACGCTTTCAACGGTTTAAATGCCGAAATATATTAGTTAACTTGTTTACAATTTATTTTAATTACAGCCCAACGTTTCGGATGCAACGGCTATCTTCAGTTGCCCTAAGACCTCGTGACGACTGTTGCGAAGCAAGCTCGTCGGCTTTAGCCTCAATAACTAATACATTTCCTTTTAAACATAAAGCTTGTTTAGAGGTGTACTACTCGCGTAAAGTACAGACAGTACTCAAAACAATTGGTTAATCTATGCCATTCTTAACCTCGGTTAGCACATGTTCGAAAGACCCGGCCTAATTCTTTTACATAACAACCTCACGTTTGCTCGTGAGCGGTGTAAGCGGAGCCGCGGGCGTAGCGTCTTAATAATTCGAAGTACGCTATTACTTTAATGTTTCCTTGAATGCCGCTTTACGATTTACTTACTGTCGTTAATACGTATGTTGCGCGGGTCACGTTCTCTAATTCTTCCGGAGTGGAGCCAGACTGTCTAGCGGTACCAATGACCCGACAATTGATTTTGAGTGTGTCGGAATGTCCAAAACTAGCTGTGTCAGCGACTTCATCCGCCCGTAAAATAGTTAACTTGGGCCACATATTGGTTTTTACAAAACCACTTCTTTTCACATTTCCCACTGTTTCTTTTAGTCCTTTATGATCTAACCAAAACACAAATAATTTTTAAATTTTCGTTGTATAGTATATGTAAAATTAATTATATCTATTTAAACGATTCGATTGCTAGAAGGTTTTGTCTGTAGTTTATATCATGCAGCTACCAAAATACTTTTAACGGTTCAAAACTCTAAAAGTAAAAAAGATAGTAATAACTACAACGGTAAACGAAGGCCCACAAACAGTGCTTAGATATTTGACTAACTTCCATGTACCCTCCCTGCGAGTTACTGGTTGCTGATTTGATAGTTAAATAATCCATTTAATATTGCTGGGCTTCCCTCTTAGTCAGATTGTTTTCATACAGTTAACAATGGTTGTTATGCATTTAGCGAATATTATATATCAACTCGTATGAAGGAAATCCACATGTGCGGTTGCGTTGATCCCTCGTAATTCCGAAGTGACGTTGATTTATGATGCATTGATGATACTGATTTATTGATTGGTCGGATGAGCCGATGATTGGAACTTTCGCTGATGGCGCACGTCGGTTATGTTCATTGATGTTAGAAACTGAGAACGGCTCAGTGTTAACTGCCGATAATATTACAGTAGACATTTCTGTATATAACATAACTTGTTCGTCACATTACATCTGAATGATGGATACTATTAAGATCTTCTCTTGAAAAATCTTATAGCACTTCCGAAAGTAATTCACAAATGGTCTATTAACGATAGCAAAATTGAATTTTAAAATGCTTTTTCAATATCAAGCTTATGGTGACTAAATAGGACATGCCTGTTGTATTTCAGTCAATATTTTTATAGAGAATCATAAAAATGATAAAGTGGTATATATTTAGCTGTTGAGTTAGTTTCAGATTAATATTACTATGTTAACTCTAACAAGTAATTGGTAAAAATGGATTCATAAAATAAAACGGTTTTTGCGAGTTAATCTTAAAAGATACACATAGGTATATTATCGTGGACATTTCTTTAAATAGTTTTATAGAAGAATCATTCTTTCATACATATTTTTCGCAACGTACGAAACGGAAAGGTGAAAAATTTCTCCGGTTTTTCAACATTTACCCCTGTCTCCCTTTTTGTGCTCTTATTAGTCGAAGTGCGGTGTTACGTATGCCTTCGATAAATGGTTTAATCACCACAAAAATATTTTTTAAATTTTATACAGCAGTTCGTTCAAACAAATAAAATAACTCTCCAGCTTGATAATATAAGTATAGATAATGAGCTTGAACGTGCTAAACACGATTAGTGCATAAAAACCAAGTGTTTAATGCGGCAAGTAATTACGATGTTTATTTACCCCACCTGCTTACTAGACAGTGAAATATTGTAACAAATTAACAACAAATTGTGTAATTTCATTACCGAGAAAACTGTAATTCTTGTAGTCGATTGGATACCGGATAAGTTTAATCACTTAGCGCTATTGAAACCGCAATTAATCAAAGTGACAAAATGGCGTTTATTCGCGTACTTTTACTAATTATTTAATGTAAAAATTATAGTAGGTACACGTACGTATTAAATACTATCTGTAGTTTATGCAATTAGTATACATTGAAATAAAACACTATAACGGTTTAAAACGCGTTATCTATTACTTAGATTTATGGGGGACACGGGAAAACCGTCGCGAGTTTTCCCCGTGACCACGGCTGGCGCAGAGCATCCGAAAGGCCGTTGTTAAAATTATTTTCGAATATGATTAACTAAAAGACATCGCTTTTTAAAACGTTAAACTGTTTTATTTAAAAGTAAGTACGTATATCTACGTTTAAAGGATGAAATTACATCACTAATTTATAAATAAATTCAGAAAATGTTCCCTGTGGCATACAGTAGATCGTGCCCGTGATATCATTCGTACAGTAAACTATAAATGTAAAAAAAACAATATATTCAAAAATTAATAATAAATTTAAAACATTTACGACTCGGACAGGACTTAAACCGGCATCTTCAACATTTCGTGCTGTTACTCTTAACCAATTGAGCTCGGTAACTTATTCGGTAGCAATTAGTTAGAGTAACAGTACAACGCTGAGGATGCCGGTTCAAGTTCTGTCGTAATGGTTTTCAACTTATAATCGATGCAATAACATGTGAAAAATATTAGTTTTAAAGGTTACCAAAATATATATTTTTTTAATTTTGAAACTAAGTATTTTTGATGAGATTGAACGCGTTCTCATTCTTGTCATAAGTGGAAGTGTCGTGCGAACCATTGTTGTACGTGTTACGAAGTTTCTATTATTATTATAATACTTTCTTAATTGTTAATTTATTACGTTCGTCTCACGTAACTTTTCGATTGTTACCGGCGAATATAAAGCTTCTATTCTGGTGTCAACGCAAGTTATATGAAACGCTAGCTGTTTTAGCGGCTTCGTCCGCGAGAATAGTTATTTTGGACATCCAAATTTGTTTTTGCAAACCTTCCTCCTTATCTTTATGAATTTAAGCGTCGCCGTCGACGTCGGTCGCGTCCCGTCGTTCTTGCAAGTTAACCTTAAACGATAGACATTGAGTATCGCGGACATAATTTTAGAACATGTAAATGTAATTATTCTCTCATACATATTTTTTGGGTATCTTGAACCGTTTTCGCAGCGTGCGCATCGAAAATCTATAAAGATGAATAATTTTCTTCGTTTTAAGATGTTAGATTTCCCCTTAGTGGTCCCTGATTTTAACAATCAAACTCTTCAGCTTTATATATTAGTATGAATTCATCAAAAAATTGTAGCTTATCTCAGTTCTTAGTATCGTTATTGCTTTGTATCATTCAGTTATATGTAAACGACGTATTTTTATATTCACTTAAAACACGTTAAAGTTGATTTTTTATAAATTCCGCTTGGAATATTTTAAAATTTCATATCTTAAACACACCAGAAAACATTGTACAGTAGTCCTGGAAACTTAAAAAGTACCCATCAAATACCGGGTGGTACAATCAAGATGGAATTTAATGATTGTGACGTCGCAGTACTGTGTCATGATATTGAATTGTTTATTAATGACGATCGATAGCTTCTGACCTAGTTAATCTTTGTCGCTGTTAATCTTTATTGTCAAATGTGATTTCTCAAACTTTTTTTAAGGTAGAGGACAAACAAAAAATGGGAAATACATAAACCATGTAATATCTAAACTAGATGCGTTGCCGATAGCTTGGGATATTATATTTTCTTAGGTATCATTACCGTTGTCCATCTGTGACTCACCGATTACAAGTTGCCCGATATCCGTGACACGTGTTCTCCGCACGAGATCTACATAAATCTGTCTCAAAACGATATTGGCAATCTCTCGGTATATTGTGACTCAATCAATCCGCGATTTTGTGTTTTGACACATTTTTTTTCGATTTCGATGCATTATGTATTTTAAACGTCCCGACTATAGTTTAAGTTCCAATTACTAATATATCAATAGACAGTAGAATTTCCAAATGGCGTCGATATATAGAAAAGATTAAATATTAGATTCAATTAATACTTTTAAATCTAAGACCTACTTTACCTATTTTGTTAAGTATTTTTCGTAAGAGGTGTGTAACAATACAATCTTAACAGCATTTATCTACATATGTTAATTGGGCTTAATTAGTTTGTTATTGATTAACCATTACATTAGATAATTAAATTCTAACTATTTTAAGCCGCTGCTTCTGATTGGCTGCTGTGCCAAATAGTTAGGAATTTAGCATTTTTAGTACAAAGCTCTTGTGAGTAAGACGTGTCCGTTTTCTCAAACAATTACTTAATTTTTTTTAATATACTTAATGTTTAATTAATTTGTTTATTAAATCTCGTAGTTTTCCCGCCATTACAATAAACAGGAAGTGCGCGTAGAGAACTGTCAAAAGTGCGCTAAACTGCATTTGAATATCGAACGTTGAATTTCGTTTTGTCTATCGGTCATTCCAATTTGAGTATAACCTGTGGACAGTAAGTGAGAAACTGCAGAGTATCTGTGGAAAGTGGGGCTAAAGGTGCGCGGGTTTTTGCGTGCTGCCGTGATTGGTGCGCGTCGCCAATGCGGCGGCGGCGGCGCGGGCGCTATGTCGCCGCCGCGGGCGCTGCTTGCTGTTCTGCTGCTCTGTCAACTGCTGTCGTACGGTGGCCACCAAGGACTAACCAAGATATTCTACACGTAAGAAAAAACGGATTTTCATCACAGAATAGCGTATCCTAGTTTAACTTTTTACAATTATCCTTGTACGATGCTCAATAACTCTAAAGGATTCGCCAAATTGCAATGACTCGGAAACGAAAACATGTAGCTCACGATTAGCTGTTTAGTATTCGTAGCGATGTAACATCTAGAACCGTTTTTAAATTACGACGGCCGATCACTTCAAAAACCCAAGTAGCAAAATTCCCAAACCAAATGCCCTTCACGAGTCCTAAGTTTTTTTTGTCAGTTTGAAACTTATATTACGCAGATGGTCTAGACTAGTAGGTATCCAAAGTCAAGTCACAACATAGACAGTTATGTGTAACGTGACAAATGGTTTAAGATAGAATCAAAGTCTGTTCTTTGATTTAAAAGAAGATATTTGCTATAGGGTTAGTTCTAAATTTTCTTTAATTACTCTTGATAATTATATGTCAATAGACCGTGATATCAAAATGATAAAGAAAAGAATGTTCTTATCACATAATCCAGTTGTTAATGTTGTAACACTAAAATTATATTAATTATAATAAAAATCTTATTACTCGTACCGCACGAAGAAAGATAACAGCGTGATAAATTGTAGTGTTTCAAGATTTAAATTTTTTATTTCCTAAGTATTTAATTTGTTACCCCTACTATGTAAGTGGGTACATTGTGTTTCTTAAAAAATCTAAATTAATGTGCGAAAGGTTCAAATGGTGGATACACGATTAAATTTTATAGTATAATACTTATTGACACTTTTGTTATTTAGTGAAAAGTATTTTCGTTTCATAAGAATTACATATATTGTTACTTTTTAATTTTTTGCGAAAAAAAAGACTTGATGCGAAATGATATCGAAATTTTTATCACCGAAGTCAATCAATGCAAAGCTGGTTTTCAAATGACAAGGCTAAACCAGAAGTTCTTAAATGTTACTTGGAACGGGTTTTGGACTCTTTTTAAATAATACTTATTAGACATTTTGCTATCTGGTTACATACGTGGTTGTGTTAAAAAAATCTAAAATTTTGGCATTTTAAAGTGATGTCTCGTAATTGTGCTTTTTTGTTTCAAGACATATCGGACCCAGGGTGGTAGTGGCAAAGAGGGCAGCTTCCCCCTCCTGGAGGTTCAAAAAATGTTATAGGACTGTATGCCCGTTGTACCAAAAAAACTTAAGAGTAAAATATTGACTCTTGACTTGAAGTCACGCACCTCAATAATCTTACATTAAATAACACTAGACATCTAACGTATAACCACACTGAACCCTGGAGGATTTATCCAACGACCCGCTTATCGCACGGACGAATTTATCATATTCAGTTTCCATTATTTATCTATTTCGATCTCCTATACCGGAATTGTAAGAGTCACTTCTCACACATTGGTTATTAAATACAATTGACGCATTGATTGTCTCAATTGAAAACAACAATACATTGTTACGTTTAACGTATTTACCAAACTGTATGAGATGGATCGAGACAATGAAATGTCTTCTCACATGTGAAATTTCTTACAGCTGAAATGATACAGTAGATTTATCCCTGTTATTGTACTTACCTGTTTGTTTTATAGCTAAATAAATGTTAACAGACACGTTTATTATTAATGTTTCATGTAATTAAAATGATAGCAGTTTTTTTTTCAACCTTCTAACGTAGTGTTTCTATATTTCCAGGTTACCTGATGCGGGACAACCTCCCATACTCATCTCGCTGTCAGACAACAACAAGCTGGATTTAGGACCAGCAGATGACCTCCTATTCGCAAACGAATCCGAACACAATGAGACTCAGAGCTTCACAATTGTTGACGGTGAGGCAGACGGTGAGAAAGCACCTGAAACAGAAAAGGAGTCCACAGAACCGAAGCTTATCGTTAAAGCCAAATCCATGCATGAAACGAGACAAACAGATGAAGCATTTCAAACAACTCCCCCTGACGTGGAGACTGCAGAATCTCAAACGGACCTCGACACAGAGGAAAACATTCCAGTAAAGCCGGAAACGCCACAAGAGGATATTCCATCGTTTTCGGAGTGGGCACAGAAGCAGTTAGCCGAAGCGGAGAAGAAGGACACCGTCTTGAACCACTCCACTCAGCCTAGTCATAGCAATACGAATTTTAGCAGTAAGAGCACCAAGTTGCGGTCGAAGAATTACGCGTCACCAGCCTGCGGCGCCAAAGTGATCGCAGTGAATCCAGAAGCCGGATCGGCGAGTTCAATTTTATCTCCGAACAGGGATGAGTATATGCTCAACACATGCAATAGCCGCATTTGGTTCGTTGTGGAACTCTGCGAAGCTGTACAAGCTCAAAAAATAGAAATAGCCAATTTCGAGTTGTTCTCCTCGACTCCGAAAGACATCGCCGTGTACTTCAGTGATCGCTTTCCCACAAGAGAGTGGGCGAGCGTAGGACAGTTCACCTCCCAAGATATGAGAGATGTGCAGAGCTTCGATCTGTTTCCGCATCTGTTTGGGAAGTTTATTAAGGTGGAAATGCTCTCACACCACGGCTCTGAGCATTACTGTCCGATTTCCCTCTTCAAAGTTTACGGGACGTCAGAGTTTGAAGTGCTCGAAAAGGAGAGCTCCCAACACTCTGCTCATATCGACGAGGATGAAGACGATGAAATAATAGACGTTCCCGACGTCCCGGCAGCCGAAACGGAGCCGTCGAAGAATCTATTCGGTTCCGCCCGAGACGCGGTGATGTCCATCGTGAAGAAAGCTGCTCAAGCGTTTAAGACAGAAGTTCCTAAAAATGTGTCCAGTGAACAAAACGATACACTGTCGGACAAAGTGTACAAACGTTGTTGCTCTCCCAGCCATATTATTGTGTGTGATAATTGTAGTGAAACTCTTTACAGTGATGTATATGAACTCCTTAGTTGTAGCTCGGACAAATTAACAAATTTAGTGCGTACGGTGTTTCTTAGGGACACGCTGAAGTGCACCGGCATATGTCAGCAGTTCGGTTTAGATTTTAAAAGTACAAAGACTATTGAGTTCGGCGAGGAACGCGTCGCGTACCTTAACGCTCTGTTCCCCACTAAGTACTTGGCCGCGTTGTGTAACATACTCGCTATTAAAGAGAAGAAAGTCGTACTTAACACTAGTTTCGAGACGGAACTAAACGTTACCAGCAATATAACTGTGGACGAGTCACCGCAGAAAATAAACAGTGAAACGAACAGCGAACAGGACGTTAAAGTAGTTCCAATCAAAAGTAACGAAACCGACGATGAGAATAAAACAATATCCACGGAAGAAAAACTAACAGTACCTGAAGAAAAGAATGATAGTACTCTTATAGAAATAAAGGAAGACAAAAAAGAGGAATATAAAGAGGATCCTGCTACAATTATAGAGGATACTTCTGTACCTGAACCTCAAGAAGATGTAGCTGATAAGACTATGGAAGCGCCAGAAGCGGATAACAAAGAAGCTACGCAGAAAACTGAATCGAAAAATGGAAAACCAGATATATCTGAAAAAACCAAAGATAACTCAAACAATGGCGGTGAGGAAGGAAATGAGCCGGCAGTCATTATTGATAACGACAACTTTATGTCAGACTTTGATCAGATGGCGGTGGATCCGCAGCCCGGCGGGCAAAATGCAGTCAATCAAAACCAGGCGCAAACCACGATACAGAAGGAGTCTGTATTTCTGCGGCTGTCAAATAGAGTTAAGGTGAGAATTTATTTATTAACTGTGTATTAAGAGATAATAAAAATAATTGTTAAGAGTTTTTATTGTAATTGAAAAATATTTCAATTCCAGACACTCGAGCGCAACATGTCTCTCTCCGGACAATATCTAGAAGAGTTGAGCAGGCGATACAAGAAACAGGTGGAAGAAATGCAGAAATCCTTCGAGAAAACTATGGTCCAGATGACAGAGGAACGAAAGAAGAGCAACGAGAGGGAACAAAAATACCTCGAACAAATGAGTAATCTCCAGGAACAACTCGCAAAGATGTCAGCCACAATAGAACTGCTGATGGAAGAGCGAGACAGCTGGTTTGGGAACGTGACATTCTTTAAATTCCTCATATACCAAATTATTGCTCTTGCAGCCGTTCTATATTACTGGTCGAGGCGACGGAAACCTGATCCTATCACAGTTCACATGCCGAAAAAAATTAAGAAGAGACAAGAGAAGTTAAGAAGAAAATCAGTAGAAGGAGTTAGTGGTCACGCGACCCCAGCAGCCAAGAAGAGGCGGCCCAGCGAAGAGGCTTTTCAGATCGCTAGACAATCCACTGAAGACGTGGACGACATAGTGCAGGACGGTGAATGGCAGGTTGCGAAAAAGAATAGAAGAAGGAAGCCATCCGTGTACCAGAATATAGAACCAGAACCACTCAACCAGGAAATCAGGAAGTTAGAGGAGACTCCAATAGCATTGGACGCGAACGAGTACTTCGCACCTATCCCAGAACCAATAGAGTTCAAAGAGTTACCAAAAACTAACGGGTCTTTCTTCAATAACCTGAAGAACAAGACTCTGAAGACGAGACGGTTGTCGTCTCCAGCCTTCTTGAGAACGCTAAATAGACAAAGCTTAAGAAGTACTCCCAGTCCCATAATGAGGACGATAGAACCAATTTTCAATGGAAAAATCGGTAAGAAGGCCGCGTCAGAGTCGCCCACTGGCAGTCTCTGGTCGGAATCCACAGATATATCGCAAAATGGACCGCAATTTAGCGAAAACGCTGGCAAAAAGAAAAAGAGTATAAAAAATATATTGAAAAAAGTATTTTAAAACAATGTAACAATGCATGGATTTTATGTTCGCAAACCAAATTCTATTTATAGTCTTTTCACCGAAATAAACTTATCATCTCTTTCCCACTATTCTATACAAAGAACAAGGATACAAAATGGTCTGTGGGACTTTATTAATAAAGATGTATATACATTTCTTAATCATGTGCCTATTGATGTTATTCTGACCTCGGCCAAAGGACTATAGATAGAAATAAATAAATTAAATAGAATCAATAGTAACAGGGATCAATGTTGGACTTTTGATTTTGGCCATAGTGGTCTAAGATTTGACTAGACACGACATAAGAACTAAGAGTACTTGGTAGAACAGTATCCGATAATATATATATATATATGTAATGAATGATAATGATACGCAGTCAATAAGAAGTAAAATTCACAAAATATTATACAGTGAGACAGAGATACACTAAAAATTATTTATTGTCTATGACAATAAATAATGTAGACGATGTATGCGATGTCGGGCACTGTTCAGTATTGTACGTAATTTAAGCGGTTTATAATGCTAAATACATCGGTAAGTAGTTAAAAATTAATTTCAATAAGTCGCGTTTAATACAGTTTTTTAACTGACCTGTACTCTAGTATTCCCTATCTCAATGCTTAAAACGAATATTTCTATATTTGCTTAAGCAATTCGGCTATTCTTATTTATTTAATTGTAAATGTAATTATGTTTAAATTATTGTATAGTATTTGTATGGATGTCGAGAGCTGTGTAGGTGCCAATTGTGATAAATTAGGGAGCCTAATGTGTTGTTAGCTGTTAAAGTTTGTTTTGTAATGCCGTTGGATAGACAATAAGGTAAATTGAGGATGGACGCTAGTCGCATGCGCAGCGGATACAAAGAAATGGCATTAAATGCGTTTTATTTTATTTCTTGTTTTATTACCACTCGCCCTTTGCAAAGCCGAGACAAGAAGGATAAACGACAAAATATTTCTATTAATAATTATTAAATTAAAATAATTTCTAGTAGCTGTTTTCGCCTAGAGTTCTCGGGCGAACACATGTTCGTGCTCTTTTCACAGATTGATTTTATTTATTTAACCCTTGGTGCAAATACCAGTACCTTAACTAGCTTAATTTAGTCGAAGATTTTTATATTATAAATATGGGACTGCTACAATTACAAAACCACCAAATTGACATAATTATAATCTGTAATATCATGTTTTCACCACATCACCATGTTTTACACCACAGCTTATCTCACTATGAAACAATAGTCACAGACTGCAAAAAGTCTTTCAAGTCCACGGATTTTATCTTCACTAGATTACTTTGGCGCGCCGCTACGTTCAAACTCTTCGCGGCACTTTCTAGATCGTCCATTTTGTATTCGGTGTTGCCATTCGTAGCGAAAATAATTTCATTTACCTCTTCATACAATTTGATCGATGCTATGTGTTTAAAATGTCGCTTTAGGGACTCCATTATTTTCTCTTGTAGTATTTTGTCGCGACATACCAAGTTAAGTATGAAGTGACCTGAAATAAATGAATTTTATTTTAATAATTCTTCAACAATGGGGTTCGCCCGATAAAAGGTGAAATATCATAGCTATTTTTTATATAGAAGAGATACAAGGATGTGGATCACCCGATGAAAGGTGAAATACCCCAGCCATATGACATCTCAATAAGATGCACTGTCAGCCGGTTTTGGACTTGGAATCTAGACTGAAACTGAACATCAGATCACCTCATAACTTTGGAAAAGTTATGAGGTGATCTGGGGATCTATGGACGCGAAGACCATAAAGGAATTTCGATATTCGTACCACCCATTTAAAATGTAGATTTTACAGACGAAGTAACATGTACAAGAAAAGTTATAAATTGATTTTAGAAACATGGTCCTGGTGAAAATTGAACACTTAACCCCTTTCTTATGATCATTGATAAGACTAAGGGGTTTGTCTACTTAGCTCTCATAATATTGATGCTTGGGTGTGTCAGAATAAGAGAAACTCTCCGCACAAAAATACTAGACTCAGTTACCCTGTACTCCCTGTACTGTAGATATCCTGAGTTCAGGGGTTGAGACATAAAACTTTGACAGTATTATTTTTAGATGTAATCTGTCATTCGAGAAAAATATAACAAAATATATTTTTATATACCATCGTTAGTTAGTATCCTATCGACGTGTTGCAACGTTTCCTCCTTAAGGAACTGTTGAGGCGGACAGGAGAGGCCCAGGCTTCGGTCTTTGCTGTCCACGTCAAACATCACATAGCTGTATAGGGAACCTGTAATATGACGAGTATATTTGAATAAACGATAGCTTATGTGTCAAGCAAAGGCATACAATTTGAGGCAGGTTCGATTCTTCTCTCATGTAAATAGTTAATGTAATATACTACTTAAATATAGTGGTATCTGTTTTCTACGCACGTAGTGCACATTTAATTAAAACACGTTCAACGGTTTAAAACTCGAAATATATAATTTATTTATTTATTTAAGGTATTTTAACTACGACTCGACAGTTAATGCCCGAAACTGTCAGTTATATAGCCGTTGAAAGTGTTTTATTTTAATTAGAACTGTAATTACATACGTAATAGGTATACGTAAATGTCAAAAGTTATTTGGTCGAGTTTTATTCTTTGGCCTTTCTGTACATCAATTAAAAAGGATCTTACCATGTTCCGCCTCATCATTTAAGAAATCCAGCCCATCTTTAACTTGGACGCTTAACCAATCATCGATTTCTAGCTCAAAATGACTCTTAGCCAGTTCCACCATAGCTGGATCCAGGTCTACAGCAGTTATCCTCATTTTTGGATAACACTTCTTCAGGAACATGCAGAGGCCACCACCACCAAGACCTAGTATCGCGATTTCAGTTCCAGAAGTAAGGGGCAAGCATGTACACATAAACGCATGGTATTGAGATATGTGTCCAAAATCAATTACTTGCTTCGTTTTGTTCTTCCTTTTCACTGTAAATTGAAAAAAATATAGTTTCAAAAAAATCCATGAGGGGCGGCAAAAACCAAATTATTACATAAAAACTTGGGGAGGTTGATTCAATGCACTATTAAAATATATTTTTAAGAAATTTATAAAAATATTTAAAATGACTGTTTAACAATGCGGTTTCGCTTCATAAACGAAAATTAAGTTGTGTATCTGCCCTATTCTCCATTAAAGAGAAGTTGAAGTTTCTTCTCCACTACTGCTAGCGAAAAATATGACCCTTTTCCGTATTTTACCCGCTTTACCGTATTGGGATTTTGTCATTCTAAGCATGCACGTTCTTGCAGTGCTTTTATATGCTGTAACCGACAGAAGCGAAAATACAAATGGAAAAAACAAGAAAAATTATTCATATTTGATGGCCTCTCTTGAGTAAGCTGCGAAAACGGTTCAAGAAACAAAAAAATGATATATATATATATAAAAAATATACAGTGTTTGTCTACCTTTTAACATTAACTTGCAAGAGCGACAGGACGCGGAGGACGGTAACGTTGGTATCAAATATGGCGGCTTATATCAATTTGAAAAATATTAATGCGCAATGAACTGAATGAAATAACCTGTCTTAAGCTTCGCCTCGGACTGAACAAGAAACTGGTTGTCCAAGAATATGAGCCTCCTGAAGGTATCGTCGCCGACATCCACGTCCTCCACGACGAAGTCACCGGACACCTTCGAGCTGCCCTCGTGCACTTTGACGCGACGACCCACGTCACTCCCGACGGACAGGAAGGGGATCTGAAACCGAAAGAACTTCAGATAACATATTATATTGAAATAAAACACTAACGGTTTAAAACGCGATATATTTTAGTTAAACTTGTTTGAAATTTATTATTATTTACAGACCGACCTTGGCTTTTTACAATGGTTGTTGACCACTTCAGTAAAACCTTAAATATATAATCTGCGACTGGCATGAGACAGTCGAAAATGTTCATACATACCCTAGATAAAAAACGAAAGCGAACATTCGACTCATCGTAGAAATCATAACAGGACATTGCCGTATAAAAAGACGTCATACAATGATAGGAATAGGCAGCGACCCTCTATGTCCGGAGCGCAGAGAAAGTGAGGAAACAAGCATCCATCTACAGAAGATGACATCAAAGAACTACAGATGGAAAAAATAATAAGATTCTGCAAGCAAACCGGAAGGTTTGAAGGGGACACGGGAAGAGTTGGATGACCCAAAACCTCTACAAGGAGGAAATGGGGAAATGGTCGGCGGACGGCGTGGACTGATCACCCGGCCTACCACGGGTGTCCCCGATAGAAAATAATAATAATAATGGCCTATATGTAAATTATTGATAAAACTGGTGATCCTTGGTACTTTACTGCCACATAAAAATTGATATTTAAAAAACACCCACTTGCCCGCTGAACCCGTACGGAATGAGCATTTTCGCGGAATGCGCCAATTCCTCTTTGACTGCGTCGAAGCTCTCGAAGTGCTGTTCACGTCTTAAAACGGCTACCACGAGTCTGCTGTACTTGGCCAAAGCCTGTAACTGCCTGCGTCCAGCCGGCGTCCCGAAAAGCCACTCAGACTCCCTGGAATAGATAACACTATTACAGACAACAAACGGAATAGGAGGATTGTAGGGCGTATCTTTAGAAGTGCTACAGATGAACATATTGCATAGACAGAGTTAACTTTTAAAATAAGTTTACAGCGATAATTATTGCGATTTTCTTTGTTTTTTTTTTAATGGTAAAATCCCTCCAGCCATATAACATCTCAACAAGAAGCGTCGTCGACCTATTTTGGCTTTGGATCTTCGGAAAGCCTGAACTAAACCCGAAAGGCCTACCATACCTAGTACTCATTAATTATTCAGATGTTTAAATTGATCAAAAACGCGTTGGGCCCGTCGGGGAGCGAACCCGCATACTTATGATTATTATGTAGCTCTCGCACGCAATGCAAGGCAAGCTCCTGGTAAATAAGTCGAAATTCCTGATAATCCAGCATTTGTTTACATTGATTTGGCCAAAGTACTAATAATATAAGTCAACAAGTTTTTGTACAAAAGAGTATTTATGTTTGTTTACGTCGAAAATAACACGCACGAGGCGTGGGTTGCCAGTACGTCACGTTTGCTCGACTTTATCAGGTAAAAATATCTTTCTACAAAATATAATTTGAGAATAATATTTTTACACTTTATTTTAAATGTGCGATCCTACTACAGTAGTTATATCGATATTTAGACCTAAATGGGGCTAATTGATGCGGTTTTATAAGAGACTTTTTAACGGTAAAATTAATCGGGAAAAGCTGGATTTAAGATATACTATTTTATTAACACCTACCAAATATAGGGGAAATAATAATATATTTTTTGATTATTTCTAAATACAGCCCCTAGTTTAAAATAGTCTATGGTCCGTATAAATCCTATAAATTTCGTATTTTAAGCTAAAATAAACTAAAAGATATTTATTTTATTTCAAATAAAAACTTTTTTAAGACTAGAATAAATAATAAAGCTTACCTAAATATTTTCACAAAAAATCACAGAAAAATATTAGACCCAAGAACAGGTAAAGCACTCTTCTATCTGTCATGAACTTTTTACCTCAAATGTGTTTTTCTTTGTTAGCTTGCATTTAAATGGATGCAAACACCCCCACATGGACTGCGATTGGTCCAAACTATGGGCGTGGCATGCGGACTATAAAATCTGTAGAGCCATCAGACCATTGATTTTCGCAAGAAAAGTATTGGTGTCTCAGTGTACAGACCGCTCTAAGCTCAGCCAATTAAAAAAGCAAGGAATCAGATGTACAGTATAGTACTAACTCTTGACAAAGTACTATACTCGTACAAGTAATGAAAAATACAATTAAGAAGAAATCCTGTTGATCAATGAACAAATACTAATAAGCACTCCCTAGTATAGTATACTTAGGTCACTTGCTTGTTTCGTGTGTTTTGTGTTACGTGACAAATGGTTAAAAAACATTTTTTTTAAATCAATTATTATTTATAACCTTTGTGACTGTTTTACTATTTCTAAACTTATACTTGAGACTGATAACAGTGATTGACGTTATTTTTTTTGGATTGTCAAATAGCCATTATGTGTTAAGGGTATAATGGAGGTTTTTGAATTACCAAAATATGAAAAATGTTAAAGTAAAGAAAAATTATCTACTCCATAGCTCTTTTCCCTAAAAACAGTGGGCACGTGTCCAAACAATTTGGAGCGCTTGTAAATATTATTAAGATCCTTCTGGATACTGGATCTAGCGCTTGTCATAAATAAACGCCTACGAGATTGTACTAAGAATAGCTCGTCAATTTTCAGCTGCTTTCATTTAAGACTGCACCAACTGATAAAGATTGACATGATGATCGCGAATGAAGAACGACAAAAGACGTGATATATGAGAGGCTGTTTAAATATTTATGTTTTTAAGTGTTTGTTTAAGTATTTAAACCAATAAAGCTCAAGACCTATATATTTGTTTGTTTTCTTTGTGTACTTTAAGGCTTTTACAGCCATTTTGAAACATTCTGGGTTCGGGACTTTTTCATGACATTGTTCTTGATGTTGTACTAACACTCATTAATTTTATTGATTAATTTCATTTTTTAAAAACCTTTACTTACCTTCCCTGTGGAACAATAAAAACTGCATATTTGTTGGCAGCTTGCGATTTTTTCTGATCCACCACATAGAGAGTATAACGGGGTCTGTCTTCTCCTGGCACCATGAGGTCGAGAGAAACCTATATGAACATGTAATAGCCATTAACAAAAGCTATTCTAAAATACAAATTGCCGGATAAAAGAATGAAAAAGAAATTCTGTTTTTCCACATAGAAATTTAAAAGGAATAAAAATTCTATGGAATGGACAAATATGTCCTGGCCCCACAACTTTAAAAAATCTGATAGTGCAAAAATTAAGAAAAATTTAATTGATATATTACTATATCACTTTTTTTTACACTTTAATTATGTCACAAGGTTGCAGATATCAGCGTAACTAAAACATAACTAAAAATAATAATCTCAATGTATTTGGAGTTTTGAATGATTTAAAGTGTTTTATTTAAATGTGGACTTGAGAACAGACAAAACCCTTTTTAAAACTATAAAAACATGCAACAAGGAGATTTACATACATTTAAACATTAACTTACCTCATCATCCCCATCAAGACTCGTCTTTCCAAGACCATTAGTAATAAATGCTGTGTCTTGAACTGACTTGATACAGTTCTGTACTTCTTGTGGGGTTTCAAGCCTAACCATTTTGTCTCCAGCCAAGCATACTTCTAATAACTAATATATAAGAGCATATTATTAAAAAAAACACTAAATAGTTAGTTATTAAGGATAAGATACTAACCAATTTAGGCATGACCTTAAATTTAGTGACGATTACAATAAAAACAGGCAGTGTTGTTCCTTCACCATTTTCAGCATTTTTCTGTTCTGCTTCGAGGCACCTCACCACCCTAATCATCCATGATTTGTCACTAAAAACTTCAAGAAGCATTGCTAAGATATGACTCTGTAACAGTGATATACAGATAAATCGTCCACCCATTTTCAAAATCCTTTTTATTTCCTGGAAGTACTTGTCGATTTTCACTACGGTCTCTTCAGTGTCGTCAGGCATTAGTGCATCTAATGTACCTTTGTCCAACACTACATTAAAGGTCTCATTTTCGAATTCCGTATTTATAGCGTCCATGTAAATGAAACTCATGTCTGTTCTTTTTAAGTTGATAGCCTTCATTTGCCTAATAACTACTTCGGATACATCAATGTTGGTTATGTTTTTAAAACCAACATCGTATAGATCTGCGCTCAGACTTGAATTACCGCAACCGGGTATTAAAATCTTGTCCCCCGGTTTCATATATTTGTGTAAATGTGTGCATAGCTCTAAATATTCGCCGTACCTGTAAAGTTACAGTTATTCGTTTGATTATTAGAAATATCGTCTTAGTACAGCCTTATATACAGCCATATAACCTACCATTCAAAAGCTTTGTTTCCACGCTTTTTGAAGAATTTATTCCAGTAGTCCTTTTCACTGAATTCTTTGTGACTTTTTGGAAGGAGGTTCATCTTATATTATACCTTTCAAATGTGTATGTACAGATTTTTTATGTTATTTCACCAGACGACACATTTTTAATCAAAACAATTGTTTTAGACTTGACATTTAATAACACCAAAATATATTGACAGTTTGTCAACTAACATATTTGACAGAAAACCACAGATTATAAATCGAAAAGTAGAAGTGTATTGTCTGTATTTATTTTCTTTTGCGATTCTGTGAAAGGAGATTGCGTGATACGTTTATCATATTGCTTTTATTTATATTTTTCTAAGTACTATTCAATTACAACAATGTTGCTAAATTCCCACGTGCACCAATCCTAGCGTGATAATGATAAATTTAGATTTTGTCGAATGGAAGTCCTGGTTTCATTTACCTTAAAATAAAATCAGCAGAGCAATGGGAAGTAAGAAGGATAAATGGAATGTATTGGCCACTGTTAAATCATTCGATTTAGGTAACGTAGTTGTATCTATAAACTATCATTAAACCTTATTCTTATTTAAGTGCCTAAAAGTTAATACAATAATCATTAATGGTTTATTTACCAATAGGTGTCAGTTCTTATCTTTCAGCTCAAAAACTCCTTAAGTATTTTTTTTTTGTTTCTGCGTAAAGTGTATATAATTACTGTCAACCTAAGCAGTTCATATATATTAGCTCAGTACATTTGAGTTCTGTTGGGCAAGCCCAAGCACCATAGTGCTTAAATTTCATATTGACAGTTCCAGTCCACTGCTGGACATCATCCCCTCTACAACTTCTAATTATTTTGCTGTTATATAAGATACTTATAGATTAGACATATACAATATAATACAAATGTTGGAAACTTTGCAAGGCCTATTTTCTTTACAATGGCTAAACAATTTTATTTGTACAGGTAGGAAAAAAACCTAAAACGCATTGGCTGTGAGACTAAAATTATGCTGAATTATATTCAATACATTTGTATCTATGTTATTGACTAATACTTCCTGTGGCCAAACCACAAAAACCACAAGTTCTAGAAAGTTTTTCTAGCAATTGATTTATGAAACAAAAAAGTATTGTCAACTAACTTATAATCTATTTTTAATTTATATTGTTAACTTATTTTTACTGATAATATTTTTATTTAGTATTCATTTTATATACTTATATTATTAAATTTAAAAAATAACCGTTTGTTTTCTGTTAACAATATATTTTTAAATGGTAATATTTACTTGTACTTTCAAACATACTATTGAAAATTAATACTGTCTTTTAAGTTGTTTTCTAGTCATTCATTTGTTGGACAATTCTACTATTATATTTTTTGCTTAAATTTCTTAAAAAACTTTACTTCTTTTTATTTTCTAGCCTGCTCTAATTCTTATAATTTCTTACTTCTTGCAGGCCAAGCTCACAGCAGTCACCATGAATCGCTTCACAAGAGTATGGAACAAATTGATCTGATCAACTCCTCTGCAACTACACCTATAAGCCTTCTAGTTCAATCTCTGGTCAAACAGTTATGTACATTACTAGAAAAAGACACCTCAAAGGCAAACCAGCTCTACAATACAATATGTGAGAAGTTACACAGTATGAAACTGATAGATGATTCCTACTCAATGGGAGAATTTGAGGTGATGAGAAGCCAGTATCAAAGAGCCTTGTATCAGCTTGTTACAATTGCAAGTGGTTCTGAAATCCCAATCACCCTCCCTGCAACATGGCCTATCACTAGATCCGGTCTAGAATGGTCACGATATCACAAAGAGTTTGAGGAGCTATACTTTATAGCCGGGGGTGGCTTTGGAAGTGTGTTTAAAGCGCGCCACAGGCTTGATGGTGTTGAGTATGCTGTTAAGAAGGTCTTCATAAAGTCCTCAGATGTAAATTCCATCATGTCACACTTGGCAGAAGTAAAGACTATTGCCAGTTTGAACCATCCAAATATAGTGAATTATAAAGCTGCCTGGCTTGAACCATTAATAGAATCCACTGTCAAGAAGCGAAAACATTACATGGATGCAGACAGTGACAATTCCAGCTCGAATAGAGTGTCATCTGTATATTCAAACATAATGAAGTCCTATAAAACATACAACTCCAAGGAGCTAACCAAAAGACACAGCCAATCAGACTTTATTATTTCATTTGAGAATTCAGAGAGCTATGAAAATGAGGAATCTGAAGAAATTTACAGTGATAGCAATGACTCTCCTGTGCCTGACCAAAATGCACTATGCAAATTGATATCATGTAATGAATTTGAGAACTGCTCTCGAGTCAATTTGAAATGGGCAACACTGTATATTCAGATGACATTCTGTCAGCAAACACTTAAACAGTGGCTGGATGACCGGAACAGTCACTTATTCTTATCAAGGAAAAATTCTGACGATGTGTGCCTTCATCATTCTGATTCTCTTGATTCTGGGAGTTATGATAGTCACTTGTGTCCTGAAACCACTTATCCATTGGCATGGACGAGATTGGATATCCTCATAGATATGTTTACTCAGCTAGTTCGTGGCCTGCATTACATACATTCCAGGGGTGTTATTCATCATGATGTAAAGCCTTCTAATGTTTTTGTGGGCCGAAGTGAAGGTGGGCTTTTAGTGCAGTTAGGCGATTTTGGTCTGGCTTGCCCATTGCAGCAATCTCACAGTGGATTAGCTTTGGGTACGCATTTGTACGCCGCGCCTGAACAATTGGATGGACAATGTAACCCAAAGGTATGGTATTGTTCATAATAAAAAATGTGGTGAGGAATGACACTTAAAGCCTCTTGTACATTATTCCAATTAGACACAATTTTGACAAATAAATATAATTGAGTGTTAATCTTTGTCTTTCTCCTAATTAATTTATAAAAAATACACATATCTACATACTTATTTTGTAAACGTGATTTTTTAATTATTCACATATTTTTTTTAATTTCAGAGTGACTTGTATTCCCTGGGCATCATACTGTTAGAAATGGTGGAACCTTTCAGCACAGATATGGAACGTGTCAAAACAATAACTGATCTCCGCAAGGGCCAAATACCCGCACATCTCACTGCAAACTATCCAAAGATAGCGCACATAATTGGGAAACTAGTACAAAGAAAACCCAGCAAGCGTCTTGACACCAAACAGCTCTTGGATGAATTGAAAAATCTCTGTGAGAACAAGGATGAGACAATAAAGTCACTGAAAGAGGAATTGGCTGCAAAGGATGATGAAATTGCTAAACTGAAAATGATGCTAGCAAAATTTAACCACCATTCCTAACATCAGATGTAATGTGTGTATTTGACTTTCTGTGGACTTTTTACAAAAGTTCAATTATATTTTTTGGTTTTGACTGACCCTGATAACTGTGTTACCTTATTTTGGATTTTTTTTTTGTATCTACATACCAATTCTTAAACATGACATTTGATAAATGTCTGTAGACACAGTGTATTGACATTATATTGTGTTAAATTGTTATTTCATTTTACTGAGTCACAAACATGAGTCATGAAGAATAAGAGATGAGAAAAGAAAAGATACTAGATCTTAGTTAGGTTATTACAAATGTCATAATTGACAATTTCTTAAGGTGTCGCCAGTAGTGTTAAAATATTTCATGGTCTAGCCACACTTAAAAATATTTGAGTAACATGACGCTTGCTTATTATTTATTTGGATGGGTGATTGTTGATTTATAGAAATGTAAGATATTAATTTAGGTAGTGACCACTTGTAGTTTCATTATAGACATACAAATATTATTAGAAAATTTTATTTACACAAAATGCTAAATGTATAAATTATAGCCTTAATCTTATAAATATTTACAGTCTTAATATTATGAAGATACAATTATCTTGACGGCAATAATTGTTAGAAGTTACAATACAGATTTTGCTTATGCTTAACAAAAAACCTAAGTATCCACGCATCACATATGACTACAGAGGCATATAATCTGGCGGTTTATTTGGAATTGTAAGGTTTTTTTGTGTCTCTGATATATTAAACTAATCTAATTTGGCGGGTAGTTTTATAGTAACGTGTCAACTGCGTGGATTACTCCGTTTGTTGCTGGGATGTTGTGGGTGATCACTTGGGCGTTGTTCACTTTGATTCGGCCTGTCGAACGAACAAAATACATTTATAGGTAAGAATTTTAGCAACTAAATTGGGTTGTATTCAATATCGAGTTCTTCTACACACATGTTACAATGCCTAGGGCGGAATCTGACTAAAGCTTTAATTTTTAAGCTTTAGTAAAACAATTGGACATTAACGTCAAAAATAAGGCCTCAAACGGTTTAGAGGAGTCAAGAGTAAGAAAAAAATTGTTTTTATTTACCAGAGTTCTTCTGTAGTGTGAGTGGTTTGGCGTCCTCCATGGAGTTCCTTAACTGATAATACCGCATGCCTGCACTGTACAAGGTTCCTGGCAACACATGCCGCGCGACCAGCGCACGAGCGGCGGCTTTCTCCGAATATCTTGACAGCTCGCTCGGCGCTAGTTTCGCGAACGCAGTGTCAGTTGGCGCGAAAACGGTGTAGGTTTTACTTTCTGCAAAGTATTTTACGATGAAAAACAGTCAGTGTCATATTGTTAATATACTTTTGGAGAAGTTATTGTCAATACAAAATATAATTTAATATATCAAATTTATAGGTATATAAACTATATATTTTGTTTACTAAATCGCCTTAAGGACATAAGATCGTCCTGTAATTAAATTTGTCTCACATTTTTGATATAACAATATACTCGTCTAACGTCTAGGAAATCTATGGAAAATTATAATATCTAGAGATTAGGTATATATAAAAGAGATACAATAGGGAGCCTTAAAGCTAAAAACGATCTGTTTCGGACATTTATCATATAATAATCGTTATCCCCAATAAATCTGTTACCTGCTAGAGTATCCGCGAACCCGCTAGCAAATATAGCCTTCAAGAATGTAGTAAACCTTCTATCTCTGTCTGCTTGAAGAGTCTGCACCAAATCACCAACTGGAAGAGGGAACATCACTCTATCTACTGCGTGCGCTATACCCTGAGAAAAAGACAATTAGGTATAAATCAGTAAGTCGGTCACAAAGAGAAGTATGATACACCGACACAAGGATTTTTTAGATTCGATTTTAGGAGGTTTTGTACCAGTTGTCTTGGCCGCATCTGATTCAAATATTCAACCCACCTGTGGTATATGTATATCCCTCTTATCATCAATGACTCTGGCGCCATTGATCGTCGTCACTTTGACCTCATTCCACTCGACGTCGTGCATGTCGTATTGGTTAACTCTCAGCTGGGTCCCTGCGAGAGAAACCCCCGTCATCTCATCCTGGAGAGACGCAATGTCGAATGCTCCTGGTATAACGTGGTGGAGGAGTAACTGGAATGAAATAATCAGTTGAGTAGAATCTAGATGTTAAGTAGTTCGTGGACACTGTTTTGAACTTCAAAAGAACAAGCCGTTCATTTAAGCATAGCTAATAAATAGATTGAATCTATTATTGTTCACAATAACGATTTACAATTCTTATAACAATAACAATTTATTGCTTCAATTTACTATAAGTATGGTTATAAAATATATATATTGCCTTTACAAAACCCCTAAAAAATTGTTATTAAAGTTTTGCCTGTGCCTTTAATAGAAATATGTTTGCGTGGGATAATGCTTTTTATTTTATAGCAGGAGTAATTTTTACAATAATAAAATTTTTGCATAGAAAGTTACAACTGTAAATAAATTTATAAATAATACTAATTTAAAATAGATTATTACTTACACCACTAAGCAATCGAGGGTTATCCCGGAACTTTTCCTCTGCTCTATCCGGTCCTCCGAGTTGCACCAAAAGCGTCCTAAACGCCTTGTCCGTTGGTGCGAAAATCGTGTACGGTCCTGTCTCATTCAGAATTGTATCCAGCCCGGACTGTTTTAAATACTTCGCGGTGGCGAATAAGCCGTTTTCTTTAAGGATATCAATAAGACCAGGGCTAGACGCCGATGCGAAGATATTTTCCGCAGGTTCTTCATATGTTGGGGCGGCAGTAGACGAACCTATTACAACCAAATCTTGATGAGTAGATCTATAAGCGGGCGTCGTATTAATTATAGTAGAACTTGGGAATGGATTCCTTTGTGTTTGCTTGTGCGTCTTGATTGTGTATGTCGGTGTTGATGTTTTTATGATGAATCGCTCCGTTGTCGGTCCTCTAGTTGAAGATTGGTACGTTTGTGATTCTCTTGGAGTGTATGTGTCTCTAACTGCATCGTGTTGTGTAAAAGTTTCCCTATAAGGTTCTCTAGTTGGATCTCTTTGTATGAATGTATCTCTAGTGGGTTCTCTCTGAGTATATGTCTCCCTGGTAGGTTCACTTTGTATATAATCTCTCTCTCTTTGAGTGTAAGTCTCTCTCGGTGAATCCTTTTGGGTGTATGATTCTCTCGTGGGTTCTCGCTCAGAGTAAATGTCGTTTTGTGGTGCCCTCTGTGTGTACGATTCCCTTACTGATTCGCGTGGTGCAAACGTTTCTCTTGACTGTTCTCTTTCTCTCTGTGTATGTGAATCCCTTTGTGTGTAATCTCTTTCTCTAGGTGTGTAAGTCTCTCTCAATGGTTCCTTTTGCGTATAACTTTCTCTGAATGTTTTCTGTGTGGTTCTTGCTGGTGAAATTGAATTTCTATAGGTCGGTGCTGGTGTAGTCTGTACTGGGTTTGTCAGACCAGATGCACCGTAACTTGAGGTAGTCACAAAGCTGGTATAAGTGGAGGGATGGTGTGATGATTCGGCTATGTAATCTGTGTTGACTGTTGATGGGCTTTCCGTAGTAGTGCTGAATAATCCGTTAGATATCTTTGTTGGCCCGGGGAGAGATATTTCTCCTCTTTTAATTTTGTTCAATATTTCCTCCACTTCTGGTCCTTCCTCTGTCTGTTGTCCATTAGCTTTAACTCCTTTTACTTTGTAAGAACCGTCGTCTTGTTCTTCGAGAAATACGAATGTAACCTTTTTCTTATTAGGAAGAGTATTGGGCAATGCAGAAACCTCCTCTAATTTTCCATTATCACCTTGTTTCACCAGTTCGAAATTAGCACCGGGAGGCAGAACACCCTTAGTCAAGTCATCGAATGAGACGCGACTTTCCTTATGTGTTTCTTGTGTAGATGCTACTAGTTTTCCTAAATCTGGGCTGTCAGCAGCTATTGCACCTTTAGGGATCAAATTAGGATTGTTGGTCCTAATTACCTCGTATTTTTGGCCGTTAAGAGAAATCTCCCTTGATGTAAAGTTTTTCTCACTAAAGTCCTCTGGATTTTCAGCTAAAGCCACTTTAAGTTGCTTTAAAATATCTGGTTTCTGTAAAAGAGCAACACTTTTTGCTCTTAAGTTGTCATCGAACCCTTTAGTTTCACTTTCTTCGAGAAGATTCTTAATTTCATTGTAAAGCTTTTGTTTACTTCTGTCTTGAGGGGGAGTCCTAGCTCTGGCTGCTGGTCTAGTTCTAATAAACCTTGGTCGCGGCGTAGTTGTGGTTGTTGTTGTAGATGTTGTAGTAGTTGTCGTTGGATGATCACGTTCATAAAGTTCTAAAGCCTTTTTAAATAAATCTGTTTCATGTGGTAAAATTGGCCTCCGTTTTTCTTGATTGCGCTTGTAAGCATCTTCGTAACTCTCAGTCGTCGTGTACGTCGGTAAAGATTTAGTGGCCTGTCTACTCAAGAACTCCTCGTGAAGTTTCTCCACCTTTTCCTGTTGTTTTTGTTGTTGTTTCTGAACGAATTCTTGATGTTTTTGAATTATACGTTGCCTCTCTTGCAGTTCCTTTAGTTTTTCTAGGTTATCCTTTGTTTGCTGCTCGTAGTACTCTTGGAAATCAGATGCTTGTGGGCTGCCAAATATGGGAGCTTGATTAATGGGTTGGTTGAGTGATGGAGAGGCACGGAATGAAATCTGTCCATTTTGATTTATATTCTGTGGTGCTAAATTTGGTGCTGCCTGAATGGTTATCGGATTTGGGGCGACAAAACTTTGTTGATTCTGAATAGGTTGTAGGGTTGGCAGGAAAGCTGCTTGCGTCGGTCTTTGTTGGGCAAGAGAGAGGGGAGCCGGAATGTTTGGATTGTGGTTGAATATCTGCGGATTTTGAGCTATGGGATGATTATTTTGGAAGTTTGGTACTTGTTGGATATTTGGGTTTGATTGAAAGTTCTGTGGGGCTACATTCTGGTGGAAGTTTAAGGGTGGATTGACATTTGTCCCTTGATTGTATTGAAAGTTGTTACTATTCTGGATCGGAATGTTCGGGATGTTTTGGGCTGGTAAAAGGCTGTTAAACTGCGGTACATAAGGTTGTTGATTCAAAATGGGTTGGGAGAATGCAGCTTGTTGCGCATTGTTTATGAGGGCTGGTTGTTGTTGAAAATTTTGAAGTGGCGAGTTGAGTCCGAATCTCGTTTGATGTTCATTGAAGCCAGGATGGCCGACCGCTCCTTGTCTACTTCGGTCAAAGTCGTTCTCGATCTGAAATAGAAGGAGAACTGTGAGTTGTCTGACGAGTTACTATTTTACAATAATTGTTTAAACTATTTTTACTAAGCAGCTCTACTTACCTTTACATGTTAAAATTGGGTAATTCAGATTATAGGTCATATAATAAATACTAAGCAAACTACAATACATTGTTAAAGAATGCGTTAAAGAATCATAAGAACAAACAAACAAAAAATATAAAAACACAATGGTAAGTATTGCATTACATAATTCGCTGCTGAGCGTATGATAATGGGGCAAATTATCAACTTTTATGGTGAGAAAGTGAATATTAATGAATTAAACTTAATTCGAGATTTCCTTTTATTCTCGAGTCAACGAAGATCTCTTGTAAATATGTACGCAATTATTTCTAGAGCTAAGAAATTAAGATAGGTAGTTTTTTCACATATTATAAAGTACTAGCACTTTTACTCAATTACATATAAATATTGTATATAATTCCTATTAAGTAAATATGTCTAGAAATATGTACTTAAATATATATTTTTTTAATATACATATGTAGATAATATAAACTATGTCAAAAATGTATGTACCTTTATGATGAATGTTTGTTACCCTGACGGGGAAGAGCCTATTTCAAAAAAAGTTTTACTCTCGCAGAAGGACAATATTAAAAGAAAAAGAAGAAGAAAACCGATAATAGAAACAGGAGAAATAGACTAGACTATACTAAAGGACAAAATACTATTAGTGGAATGAGTTACGCTCATTAAGCAGCGCTACGTAAGGAAAATTGACGAGTGATTTTTGTTGGTATGAGACGAATTCACGTGGCATTGTATCAAAAGTGGGGCATTGCGGTGTTATGTATAATTAATGAGTAATAAGCGTGGTTGTATTGTTCCGTGTGCTGAGCGCAGTTTCACGACAGCCGCGTCTCCGTGACGCATCAGTAGCACGAAAGTGCATTCTTAGCTGCTGAGAGCGCGGACATCGACAAAGAACTATCTATATAAGTATTTAGGTATATCTATACTTATACATAAAGATGAAGAGTTTGTTTGTATGCGCTAATCAGGAACTAACGGTTCGAACTGAAAAATTATTTTTGTGTTGGTTAGAACATGTGTGCTATTAACATCACCAATGCAACTAATAGGAATAAATAAACATCTAGTAATGTGAAACGGGGAAATTATTCATCTTTGTGGATTTTCAATGCGTACGCTTCGAAAACGATTCAAGATATCCAAAAAAATATGTATGAAAGAATGATTCATCAAAAGGATTTAAAAAAAATGTCCGCGACAGTGTGTTGTCATCTTTCAAGATTAACTTGCAAAAACGACGGGACACGTCGTCATAAAATTAAGCTGTTAAGTAAAAAAGAAAGAGGTTTCAAAAAGAGATGCCATAAAATATCCAGCGGATGAAGTCCGTCAAGTAGTAAGTAAAAAGTACGAATTTTTACAGAATGATACTTAACATAATAATAAAGTAAAAACTCCAGGCGTGGCCGCGCTGAAGACCTAATGCTTTGAACATTCACAAGTCCACAGACTGAAATTGAAACCAATAAACTTCAAATTTCGATAAGTACTGCCGATTTATTTAAATAAAACACTTTAACGTTTAAAACGAATATATTTTAGTTAAACTTGTTTAAGAATTAGTTTTAATACGCTGATGTTTCGGATGTTTGAGCAGCCGTGGTTACGGGGAGATTAAAGTCAAAGTGCTTTTTAATTACAAAGTTGATGAAAGTGCCTAAAAATTAACTTAATGATTTAAAAACATGTTCGGCCTGTAGCAAATCGAACACTTGATCAGTTGATTATGAGCCATACATTACTGCCATTGAACCAACGTGCCGACAATATAGATTAATTTTTACAATAACTTAAACCCTAATTATTTATTATTAAGGTGGTGTAAGCTTGGAATTATTATTGATGAAACGAGCCTCTGTAAAGAATTAGTCTTTGTCAAGTATTTCCAACGCGGAACAAACAAATGCAACTAATTAGAGAAATCAATTTGAGTAAATATTTGACAATTTGTGGTTAGGCACGGCATTGAAAATTATTTGGATTCTCGTATTTGGGCCCGAGCGTGTCAATGGCTTTCGTTTGATCTCTTTTTTAATCATTATACCTACCATAATTAAAATAAGTGAACGAATGCACATACATCGATCTCAATACTACCACACACGTAAGTTGTGAAAAAGAGAATGATAACTTAATTTCATAAATGTTTAACAACTTGTGATAAGTCTTAATATGAAGGGTACATACTCGATTTTAATATCAGACAAATATTTAAAGCAGAGCCTAACTTTGATTGGTTGACCGGTAAGTAGCAACTACCAATGAAAAAGACACAAAAAATGTTTGAACGAATTTTTTATAAATCTCAAATCAAAAAGACCGCCTCTGCAGCTTAAAAGTTAAACGCGTTGCCTAGCATTTTGTTAAGCGCGAGAGGTCCTAAGTTTCCCCGGGAAAACAATACATTGTTTCGGTAGGGCAGGGTACAGAAATCTGAATAACAGTAAAAAAACCAAACAGTGATCGTGAAGCCTTTGTTGGCCCCATCCGGCTTTCTTAAATCAAAGTCAAAATCTTCAAAAAAAACGTTGTAAGTATATTAATTATTTTTTACTATGATCAGATGTTTTGAAGCAGCTGTGGTTACGAGTTCTTCTCTCCCTATAAAGTATTTGGTAGTGTTAAAACTGCATTATTTTAAAAATACCTAAAAACAACAAAAACTACAGTAGCTAAGTTAATCGACGTCTAAAGAAATGTGTTAAAAAAAGAAAAGTCTAGAAGAACAATTATGTCACGTCCGCTATTTGCAACCGATTCGGTTACATCTGTTTGCATAATGGCTTAGATTATACATCTACAGTGAATGGAAGTGGTTTAAACCGGTTTAACTTTTATCTATATTCGTTTAAAGATGCAGAAAATCTTGTACACCTTGCGTAGAGCATGGTGGACTGCGGCTCAACAGTTTTGTTTCTCAAACATTTAAGAAAAAGTCACTTGTCTGTAGTTTACTCGAGTAGTACACATTTGAATAAAACACTTTAACGGTTTAAAACGCGATATATATTTGTTGAAAAGTATTCTCAACTACGGCCTGACGTTTTGGATAATTCTCAAATAAATTTAACTAATATATATCGCATTTTAAGCCAGTTAAAGTGTTTTATTTGAAAAAGTCACTTATTATAAAAAAAAATATGAAGAAAGGACACAAGTATTATTTTTTTATAGCATTTAAACAAGACGCGCTATCAATCTATTTTAGGTTTGGTTTAATCTATAGACTAAAATCCAAATACGGTTTACAATCTCAGCGGAATAGAATAAAAAAGACTAATGACTTAAATAATAATGGTGATATCAAGCTTTCATAGTCAAACGACCAAAAAATGCATCCCAGGTTTAGACACCGGGACCTCATATGCTTGAGGCAACTAGGCTCCATGTTCATAACTGACCTAAATTAATAACCGATTCTTAATTGTAAAGTTTAAAGCAATTAAATTAAATTGGTATGTTTTTACTATAAATTTTTGTGTATTGTAAAACTGTTGGTTACTTTCACAACAATTTTAGTTTGCAATTTTGAGAGCAGTTCTACAAATTGCACTGAAATAGGCGTTAAATTTGTTAACTATATTTATAAATACTGTCTATAGTTTACGGGAGTAGTACACATTTAAATAAAATACTTTAACGGTTTTAAACGCGATATATTAGTCAAACTTATTTAAAAATGATTTTTAACTTCGGCCCAACGTTTTGGATGCTTTGCAGCAGCCGTGGTCACGGGGAGACTCCTCGTGTCCACGGCTTAAGTTTAACCAATATATTGCGTTTTAAACAGTTATAGTGTTTTATTTAACCATATTTATATTTCGGTATATCGTATCGCCATACAGACATACTTAAATAATATGAGAGAGTAAAGTAAACGAAACATCGGACAGTAGTAAAAATAAATAGTTAATAAATTAAGTAATATATTTCGCGTTTTAATCTGTTAAAAGTCTTTTATTCAAATATAGGGGAGTCAGTATTTATTAAACTTATAATGATTAGTAGTACGCATCCACCTTTTATTCAAATGATCCGCAGTTTGACCTCTAGCTGTGTACCACAATATTTACATATGTGTACATTCGGATTAGATTTTTTTGATAAAAAAAATGTGAGGAAATCAGCATAACTATTGTTAATGTAGCATCCACAAAAATTTGGTCAGTAGTCCAAGTCCCAACAGTGGGAAAGATAAACTTAAGACATGAACGCTAAGACAATGCCCTCAAGTAAAGTAGACAGTGCAGTAAAGTATCGCAATATTATGAGCCAAGTTTTCGTCGAACAGGATGGAAGACAAAACTACTTTCACGCGCTTTCGATTTCATCCGGACGTCGAGTTATGGACTTTTGGCAAAGGTTATGCGTGCGTTGACCCAAAGTCTTGTGTCACTTTATATAATATTGCTAAGAGTTATGTTATTAGTCTTTACACGAGAGGAAATGACCAACTTCTCGCATCTCGAGAGAATTATTTAAAAACTTATCAAACAAACTTGAATAAGAATTACAATAATAGGAGATTTATGTATCAGTTTAGACTCTATATAAAGCTGAAGAGCTTGTTTCTTTGTTTGAACGCGCTAATCTCAAGAACTTCTGGAGAAAGGCTACCTAACATCGCACTGTGACTAATATAAGCTAAGAAATAGCGGGAATAGCCGATGCGTACGCTATGAAAGGATACCTAAAATATATATATACGAATAATTGATTCCTTTTCAAATGATAAATGTCTGCGATACTATATGTCTATATTTTAAAACTTGCAAGAACAACGGGACCTGATCGACATCGTGGGTAACAGCTTAAATGTATGATGATGAAGAGGTGAACGAAGTCGCTGGCACAGCTAATTTGTATATAAAAGTCTAGGAGACCACTATACTATATTAACATTAAATCAAAAATTAAATTTAAATTAAAGTACAAAAAATAAGTAAATTTTTCATTATCCAAAGAACACGATTTCTTTCAATATCTCATAAAACTCTGAATGTAGGATAAACATCGGTACTAAGGTAACAAGTTTTATCCAATAATTTCTCCTGACCTTTGACAATATACACTTTCATTTTCTACCACTCGATGTCGTAACGACGTGTTAAAACGTGAAGTGAATCTGTCTTTATACGGTATTTTCCACAAAATGTCGAAAGCCACTTTCGTATTTGGTATGCTAATTGTAACAAATGGACTGTGCACATACGATGCAACTCGGAGTGTAATATGACAATTTAATTGCGCATACTATGCAAGAGGGCGTTTGAATCCCGAGGGAAAATAGGAAAGAATTTTGAACGAACAAAAGTTTGAATAACAACTTATGTTTTAAATTTTTTAATTTGTATGGGTGCAATAAAGTGTGAAAAATAAGAAGATTTCAATGAAACAGGCATAAAAATGTGGCCGCCGTCGTAGCGATAAACAGAAATTCACTTTTTCTTTGTAATATTTTACTTTAGTAGATTTAAATTTTTCTCGACGTCATAATAATGGTGTAGAAAAAAAGAAAGTAAATTAACAATTAAACATACAATATGTGAGAATGTATTTAACTTGCCAAGTCATAATTAACTTAGCGTGGGTAATAAATGTTTAAATATTGGAAAAGTAGTTAGTTGGCCTATAATTTTTCTTTACAATTTACTATTTAGCATAAATATGTGTAATCGTTTTGTGTAACTGCAAACATGTGTTATAAAAAAAAATTTCATCCTCTTTTAAGGCCCCCTCCTTAACCCCTTCAACATTGAACTTGAAAATTTGGATAGTACAAAGTAGATCGCTGTCTTTGTCCTCATTAATAATCATTAGTATTAAAACGATTTTAACACGATGTCCGCGCATGCGCATACAACATATTTGCATCTACACTATTTAGATATATCTCACGAATCGAGTGGAATAATTATAGCTTTTCAACACACAATGATCTTCATATCAAATAAACAACTAAATCAAAAACAGCGTCAGTAAGAATAAGATTTGATTAAAAAGCTGTCGTTAATTTGATCGTTCTCATATTAGAGTTCAACGCGTTTGTCACGAAGGAATAAGGAGTGATCGTATATATATATATACAGGTAAAATAATACGGGTTTAATTTATATTTTATCTCTCTATGTCTCTCATCAAAGCATTAACAAAGCCGTTTCCGTGCCTTATTAATTGATTGCGAGAGATTTTGAGTCTGAATCCCGGAAACATAACAGCTTAGTCTAGTAATAGACATACGGATTACTTCCCTTTTACGAGCGATACTAAAATTGAATTGAGTGTGCCCTAACACTCTAAGGGGCACATGACTTCACATAATAAGATTACATTAAAGGTTAAACCCACAGCTTCTTACGGAAGCAACATCTGTGTTGCACAACAATTGTCGGGTGTCGAACATTATACAACGTATTACGAACAGATGTTTACGGATGAGAGTTCTTCTGCTAAGGTGCATTGACTTGATGCAGTAGCAAAGTTATTTAGGATTTGCAAGAATGTAAACAGGCACCGATGTTCTTCTAGTATATAGCAGGAAAAAAGGATTTTTCTGTGAAGGAAAACATCTGCTGACACGGTATTATCTGTAAGTGTTTTGAGGTGTATACGGAATATAGTTTCTCAGCCATTGGAAATAATAATGTTAAAAATAATGTGTTCCATTTATCTTTGTGATTGAGAAGGACAGGTAACTTCACTTGATGACTGGTAAAAAACCCCAGTCTCAAAAAGCCAAACAAGATATACTGTGGATCCGTTGAGAACTGTAACTTGATTTTTAGAGTTTGGACCCAGTAGGAATCGAACCGAGGAACCGGTTATTTTTAGCCTTAATTTTAACAACCACTGAACCAACAGCTCGTTAAAATTGAAGTTAGATATTTGAAGTTTTGGTATCAAGTTAAATAGGAGAAAGGAAGTGGATTTCCGTCTTCTAATTACTTTAACGAATTAAATGTTAGTTAATATTAGGAGAAATTACGTTCGTCTACACTGACATTATCACTGACCGTGACCATGATCTTAACGGGTGAAAATTCATTTTAATTTCGCTTTAATTATATTTTATTAAAGTTTAAATAATATTTTAAAGGAATTTCAATAAGGGTTTATTGATTATTTTTAAAATTTGAATATAATATTCGTTTTGAACAAATTTAAATTCTGTGAAGTTTTACTTCTTAACTTTTCACGTTTCAATAAATTGCTGCAGATTTGTACTAGTCTAACATTATGTATTACAGACATATATAGAATCAATATAACCACACATTTATAATCTGTGACAGATAGTCACGCTATCATAAAGCGACTTACAAACATAGAAAAACATTTATCCATTATAATAGATGCATGCATTTTATGGATTTATTTTACTTTCTCCTATAAGAGTTTAAACTAAATCTTTTGATTTTTTAATGATAATATGAATAAAGAATTAGATCTATTTAATGCATGTACTCTGAAAAGGGTTATTTCATTAAGTTTTGAATATAAAAACTATACTATGTACCAACTGAATTTCTATAAAATTGAAAATATAAACAAATATTAAACACTTAAATTACGACGAAAAATGGTCGGTTGTCGTCTTATTATACATTTGCCACTATATTAATTAAGTTAAGTTAAGTTTCAATTTGAGTAATATTTTTTTTATATAAATTTCGGAAAATGATTAAAAATCAAAGATTTAATGGCATAGACGCCACGAATATCACTGTACCAAAAGGTACTAACTACCTCACCTCTTTGATTACCTTTTCTACAAATTTACTTTGGTATGGAGTACAGTTATAAATAACAAATAATATATTACATTTTATCACACACACGCAAAATCTAATCTAGCTCATATTTATTACCTGTTTTATGATTACATGTCCGGAACAGAATTAAAAAATATATCAAATGACAGTTACATTGTCTGTAGTCGCGTGGATGAAACAATTCCTGGTAAAGGCGAGAACTTTCCAATCTATTGTTTTAAAGAAAATCTAATCTTTAGTTTATGGTAAGCCTAAAATACCTAAGAGTCTGAAGAATTATTGATCAGAATTTTTTTCCATGATATGTAAAATATAATAAAATATAGGTCATAACTTTATCACCCTTCTTCACCATAAATTGGAGCGAAGAAACTGAAGTATGAGATATGAATTAAATAATGGCAGTTTTAACAAAAAAAATCTACTGTAAACTTTCTCGTCCTTTAAGTTATAAAATAAAACCTGCGAATGTATTGACAGCAAAAAACTGTCCAAGATCCGTTCCTAAATTATTATTGTTGATGCAGTTCGCGGAATAGAAATGTTGAAGTTACTTATTTTTATTTAAGAGAGATTTAATTATTTCTTACAATTTTGAATTGTACACAAGGTAATTAGTTATTGATGAAAGGGGTTATTCTATAGTATCCATTCTACTTATAGAATATTACTTATATGACGTTCTTTGGTCTCATAGCAGGTTCTGATGATTTTTTTTTCATGAATTCAGCATGAAAACTTACCCTCGGTCCAGTGATAGCAGCCACCAACCTCGCTAAGAGGAGAAACTGGCAAACGCTTCTCATAATGCACTCATGCACAGTGTATCATCACACAGAACAGTCCACTAACTGGCAACACTGCCCACTGAATCCGATTGCACGCCACTAGATTCCAAATTCGAAAATCTGAAGAGCATAGACAATTCCAAATTCAAAATCTACGCAACCGTCGCGTCGGTAGCGTCGCTGACATTAATTGCTGAGCGCCGGCGACGTTGCGTTTTACCACCCCTACTCTGGACTCCCCTACTCTGTTTCGAAAGGATTGTCAAACGAGATTCGTTTTAAACGGACTATAATGTGGGACGCTGATTGAATCTATACTAATATAAATGTGATAGTGTGTATGTCTTTATGTGGATCTCAATAATTGATGTATGCTGACTTAAAATGAAGATATACCACACTTGATTTGGTTGTTACTTTTTGCGAGTTTTTGGATTGAAATCTTGATAATTTCAGTTACGTCGCAAGAATAAAAAATGTATGAAAGGCGGTTTAACTTCCTTAAAATCAATAACGTAGAACCGAACGAAGTTAGAACATAGCTCTCAATAGTAAATTAGCCGTTAAAATACATCGAAACAGCCCGCGGGTTGCAACTGGCATAGAATAAAACAATTAAAATAATTAACTTATTCTATTCAAGTGTTTATGACATTTCAATGGTAAGCTTCAGTTACATCGTTATATGAAAACATATCAAAGCTATCGACGATTAGGGCTTTTGAAATTTCTTACGTAATCCAAGTTATTGTCTGAACTAGCCATTTAGTTTCTAGTTTTCACAATGCTAAATCTTGATGTATACTCGTTGCTCAAGTGACGAGAGTTTTATGGATATTTTACTATGAGATGTCCATTTAGATATCTATTAATGATAGTCTATGGATTAAAAGACTATAGAATAACAGATATTGTTGTGTTAGATTGTGAGAAACTATATCAAAGCAGTGCTAATTTTTATACGCTTTAAGTTTAGTAAAATACGTTAGTAATAGTAATTGTAGTAAACAGTAATAATACAGGTAAGATTTAGTTGTTTAAAAACGATACACATATACGGAATATAAATATCTTATATTGAGTAATTGTTACTTCAACTGTACAATATATGAAACAGAAATAGATGAAAAATACAGACAATACTTACCAGAGATACTGTCACCGTTTATAACTGTGGCTTAAAGGTTACAAGTCTTAAATACTTGTTCAGAACCGTTAAGAGTGTTTTATAAATTGTCAACGACCCGCGTATATTACTTGCTATTGTTACGAGACAATTCTTTAAAAACTGAGCAATTTTATCAATCCGTATGCATCAGTTGCAAATTGAAGGAAATCATAGCAAAATGAATTAATCAGATGAAATCTTTCGTAACGCGAAACTACGGGAGGACTTCGGTTTGAATACAATACCTAATTGGAGTGAAAAGTTGCACCATTTTGAGTATAATGCGTTTTGCAATTTTTTCTCCAGATACCATCTTTATGAGCCTGGGCGTACTTGCTTTGTCTCGCTTTTTGTATGTGAATTATTTGATTTTTGTGAAGTGTACACGAACTATATTGTTTTATTCACGTTACATATATTGAAACAGGTTCCGAGATTTGTATTTCGAATGATTTAATTATTTGAAGAAGGTTATATTTAAAATTAACCAACTTATGGTTGTAAAAGAGTAAAATAAATATGAAACGAATATAGTTAATTATCTTATTATGTGGAACATGGGTTGTGACGGAAGCTTTTGACGCGAAAATATCATCGTAAATTGACTTGATATAAACATCTTAGATTGTTATATAATTCAGTCAGAGACGCCCATAAAAATATAGATAGACAAATAAAAACATTGGTCGTCGTTTTTATATCAATAAATTTAAAAAATAAATCTATTAACCTTAAACATAGGATCCAAAGAAATAGTTAAAAAAATACTCTTTCATATATCACCTTCATGTCACTTTTTATTACGACATGAATATAACAAAGATGTACTGGATAGTATTTCAGAGGTTACTTCTTCACTCTCAAACATCTGAATCGTTTTTGATAGGATTTTAGTACTCCCAGACGATGTTTTTAAAATTTTAAAAGCGAACGAATTGGTTTTATTTAATTATTAAATTATATATAACTGAATTAGGTTAGGTTAGTCTATGTCTACCTCAACAACTAAAAGCTGGTGTATAAAATTTTTGCACGATGATGTAGGTCATCGCTACATTACGTCAATACAATACCTAATCTGCGTTTGCGCAAATCATCGGAATATCGTCAAAGGGACCGTTACGGAATCTTAAATTACAACGACTATTTGAACTTTCTAAGTATCCACATTAAGATTGCATTGCTGATGTTATTTTGAGAGGAAATGTTGGAGGTAATTATTTTAATTGACAAACATAGAAACATACCTGGAACTGAAGTATTTCATGCATTTAAGTTATTTTAAAATTTACGCTACATTTACTTTAAATAAAACATATTTTAACGGTTTGAAGAATACATGTTAATGTGTCTTTATAAAGTACTGGAGGCACTATTAAATTTCAACAAAATATATTCCATATGAGCCATATGCCTATATGAAAATTACCATTTGTATATACTATTTTACTGCTTCAGAATATATAAAGAAACAAACAAGATCGATTAATTACAAAGTAATATTCACTGAGTAATCAATTAACTTATGTTAATAGTTGCCCATTAGTAATTAGTAAGCCCCATCTGATCCACCTGACCTATAATTTTTCAAGTATTACAAGTTACTAACATACTGATTGAGTTATTGAAGTGCTTATGTGTTAGCAAAAGGAACTTTTATAATTAATTAATTAATATAAGACTCCCTGTGACCACGGCTGCTGCAAAGCATCCGAAACGTCGTAAAAAAAAATTCCAAACTAAAATACATCGTGTTTAAAACAGTTATATTGTTTTATTTAAATGTCTACTACACACACACTTTCTTAATTTTCACAATAAAATTTTAATGATATTAAAAATTTCTCCGCTTAGTAGATCACGCAGGAAAAAGGCAAATTAATTTTAATAGGCGAGAAATCTTAACGGCATCGAAGGCCAAACTCTCTTTGCTAACTTTTAGCAAAGGTGAAGATCTCAACGCCTCGAGTCACGCTCCAATTCTGCCAACATTGTTCTGTCAAAGAGTATTTTAATCATTGTGAAAAGGAAAAAGTTTTATAGAACTGGGCATGATGTCGGGTTCGTTGCTTCTATGGTAGCAAAGGATTTATTTGAATTATCTACGGGTCGTCTTTTTTATGATAGAGGAACAGACAGATAGGATTCACTTCGTGGTAGGTGAAATACCCCAGTCATCTAAATAAGATGTGCTGTCGATCTATATTGGCTTTAAATATTTGGATCTCTACAGCCTGAAACGATCACTCTTCACGGCGTTTTCATCTGAGGACGTTGGACATGGAGGGAATTTCGATATTCCAACTATCCACCTGTTTAATATCCACAGTTCTATATGATTCTTGAGAGGTACGTTGAAAGGTCCCGGATTAAAATAGCATGCACATCCAGATGACTGCATAAAGTTAATCTTTATGGTTTGATGAAAGTGAATCGGATTAAACGACGACTACGTCGGTCGCGTCCCTACCCGGCGTTCCTGCAAGGTAATCTTAAAAGATAGAGATATAGCGTCGCGGACTTTTTTACATCATTTAAAGAGAAATAATTCTTTTATACATATTTTGGATACCTTGAACCGTTTTTTCAGCATAGGCCTCTGAAAACCACAATCATGAATAATTTTCAAATTTTATTTCACACTTCTCGGTGTATTAGTCCAGGACGATGTTTTATAGCTCCATACTCGCCTTCTCGATAAATGTTCTAACCAACACAAAAATTTCAATTCAATTCGAACCCGTAGTTCCTGAGATTACCGCGTTCAAACAAACGAACAAACTCTTCAGCTGTACACATTAGTATAGATTACTCGTAAATCACTCGAATAAGATTGTTTTATAATTTTGAGTAAACTGTAGCTTTGTGTTCAATGTTCTTTGCTTTTCGCAGTGCCAAGCATAACAAATATTCTTGAGTTTGACGAATGGACACCTGGCATTATGACAGTTTAGGCCAAAAGTTAAATTAAATATAATTAATGAATGACTTTGTTTGAATTGAATAAAAGTGAATGTTTCAATATTGCGACAGTTAAAAAAATATTAGTGAAACATAATAGCACGGGGCTGCGGCAAAGCATCTAAAACTGTTAATCTTTAACTAAATTATTTTGCGTTTTAAACCGTTAAAAAAAGATCGAAATGTAAAAAACATATTGGACCTGGTGGCAGTCGAACTGTTGGCCCCTTACAAGCAATCTTCGTCCAAGAATGTAACCCAGAAACTATTCGTGTACCGCAACGTAACGTCGTCTGATTTAGTAAAATTTACTAAATATTATACTAGCTATGCCAGTGACTTCGTCTGCCTAGAATAATTATTTTGGGCATCAAAATTTCTTTTTGCAAACCTACTGATCTTTATAAATTATACCCATCGTCCGTACGACGTCGTTCTTGCGAGTTAACTTTAAAAGATACACATGTACTGCCGTGGACTTTTTATTAAAGAAGAAATATTGTTATACGTTTATTTTGGGCATCTTACACCTTTTATGCAGCGTATGCAACATGAAAAAAGGTTCAACATGCCCAAGATGCAGGAACCCTTAAAGATAAAAAAATTTCTCCGTTTTTCTCACAGTTCCCTCCCAGTAAAGGCTTTAAGTCTTGTTTAATAATTCGAAACACGTCCACATTAGCATAGAGATTCCATAGCCACCTTGATTTACATACACATAGTCTAGACCGTATAAAAATTGTTAGTTTACGTAAAAATCGAAAGTGCTTCACCAAATTTTATGACAACTGCCTACGTGTTTCGTATCTTTAAAAGTTTTAAGTACAAACCAAACAAATGAATGAAAAGCCGAATGAATCTAGTCATGTAATTAGATAACTAGATCAAA